CCCGCCGTTGTATTTCCTTTCTTCTTTCGAAGAATCTTCCTCTTCTTTCAACGAATGAAGGGAACTAAGATCTCCAAGGGAATACAAGAGAAACTACAGGGGTCGAAAGGGGAGACAGAAAAAGCATACAGACCACCAGGGAGACAATGTTTCGTCCACGTGTTGTCATTATCGATCATGTAGAGGGAGGGAGGGAGTGAGGGAGGGAGGGGAGAGAGAGGGGGGGGGGAAGAAGGAAAACGAAATGGGGAGGAGCAACTAAAAGCGATAAAGTTGATCGATGATATTCCTAACGCCTCTTTGTTCTCTATCGAGCGGCTTGACACGAAAATTCATCGGGCGTATGCGTTCACAGGGACAGAGGTTTCCTGATATAATCTGTCGCGCTATTACATTACCAGCGATCGACTTTTGATGTTCCCTGATGAAATTAACCTCGGAAAGATAGCTTAAATCGATTACTGGGAACACGGATGGCCGCCTCTGCTGAAACGTTAATAATTATCCGGACGCAGCACTTAGGGATGATTATCAGCGATAGCGAATCGTTATTCAACTTTGGCTCAACGTCCGTTTTTGCGGGACTGGTCGACCACCTCGGTCCACTCGTTGATCCACGGGATGACCATAGGTGAGGAGAGAACAGAGAACCGTCAGGGAAAACTTCTCGTGAGGTTCGTACCGGAGTTGGATATAATTACGAGTTGCGGTAACGACCGCCTACTATAGAGAAGTTCGTCGTGTGCGCGAACTTTGAACACCCTGTTCGACACAGTGGCGATGTATCGCCGAAAATTCAAGATTGGACGACAGCAACTGTCAGACGTAAGACACTTGGATGGTATCGTGTACAATGCATTTTCCGATACGCGTAACATATCGTGTGAATAAATTGTGGTTGACGAAAATTTGCAAAAGGGAATTGATAGAACTTGGTGGATGTATGGGTGAAATCATGAATACCCCGAGAAGACTCCTTTTGTCTTAATCAAGCGTGCTGGAGATTTTGCACTACAAAAGTTTTATGGATGTTGCTGAAACAGGATAAATGTGCGTGCAAGATAGCGATGGAAAATGCTGTATAAATTCTTGGTAAAAAATGTCCTAAGAAAGTTTTAAAGAACAAATCCTGCGATAGAATGTGTCACCTTGCTAGGAAGTTTAGTTATTGATTTAATTCGAGTTTGCTTGTTTTAAATTATCGAAAAAGGTTTCTCGTTACTGAAGCTTGCTGTTGTCGATAGTGAGAAACTAGTTTATGTTCTATTTCTTTCGTAAAATTGGACAGATCTGCATCTAAAAATTATAAAAAACTCTTTGCTTAACTTTAAACATTTCATTTCACATCATTACTATTACCAATACCAAACAGTACTCGTTCAATAAGCTTCTGTAAATTCACGAATATTTCCTTCTTTTACAAAGTTTCGTTCAACAGTATTAACAGTTTCAAATCTACCTACATACTTAGTACCTTTTAAATTCCATTATTCGACTTAACCCCTTAACCTACGATTTACGTTCGAGAGTGCCCGTAATATTTACGATTGATCCGATCATCTGCTACGGGCTATGTCCGTAGTTGTAGGTGAAGGGATTAAAACATTTTAATCCGCGTGATTATCAACGGGATGTATCGGACAAGTACAGCGTCGCATAGATATTTGGTCGCAGATCGAATTGATCGGTCCCGTAACAGCGTTTAAGCTTCAGCGAAACATCAAAGTGGCTAGTCAAATTAATATTCGCGCACTACCCACGAACCGTTAAATGCTTAGTTAATTGAATCTCACAATGGGGGCTCCATATAATTCGGAGGTGCAAGAGAAAAGGAACGAGATAGATTCGGTCGTCCGAAAGCTCGAGCATCGATTCGATCGGCGTAGAAGACAGAGCTGGAATGGAAAGTTTCGGACCGGATAGAACGGAGACGCGGATATTCGTTGCCATTTTGCTTGCACATCTGAAATTCAATTTCCCAGCCAAAAGCTGTCGGGGAAGTTCCCATCAATGGCGGCTCCGCTGCCGCCGTCGCGGTGGAGTGTGAAAGAGAGGAGAATGGAGATTGACAACAGACGCGAGCGAACGTTAAAACGTTTCCTTGAAAATATCCAATGGAACTGCGAACTTTCCTGACGCTTTAAGCTACCGTGAAAGCAGCTTTGTTTGGGTCGACGACTGATTAAAGAGTCTGAAGGCAAGACGATCGAGGTGAGACGTTGCCATCGCCATCGTACGAAGAATTTGACGCGACACGGCGCGACTAGTCGAGACGACACGCGAAAAGGAAAACGAATCCGATCGATGAACGCGCTAAACTTTACCAAACTTACCGACGATGAACGCTTAATATTTCACGGCGAAGTCAGCTGAACAAAATTCGATAATCAATACGGATGACACGGTTAAAAGTTCGTTGGCCGTTGTTCGATATTTGTCGGTTCTTTCAAATCTTTCACGCTCCACCGTACTCTGTAGACTGCTTTTGTTTCGCGATCAAATTAGTGTAACAATGTTGGATTGCTTGTAACAGTGTTGACCAAACAATGTTCGTGGATTTTTTGATTTGAATGAAAGGATTAATTGATCGTGTACAAGCCAACTTTGATTTAGCTAAAACGTGACAGATTTATGAGGTGCTATATGTCGTTAATTTCATGTATATATGATATGGATTAAATTTTTAAAATATTTGTACAGTATTTGACAAAAATACTATAGAATACAGGCGATACTGTCGGTGGCTCTTTTTCAAGGGGATGAAACCTTCGACGCAGTTTCGTTATTCTCGATTCTCGTTTTATCTTTTAACCATCAAATATCTTCAAATTCGTTTGTACCAAGATTTTAAGCTCACGGTGTATGTACTAAAGCGGAGAGAAATCGGCATAACGTTTTGTTACTAGCAAATGTGTAGTATAGATTTATCTGTCCACGTTCAGTAGTGAAAGTGTAAGTAATAGGTATCCCGTAAGCATTCCAACTGCTTGCCTTTGGTGAATGTTTTAAGACTTTGAATACTAAAAATACAAGGAGAGTGGTACTTTATGTGCGTCAAGATATCATAATACTCTAACATGCTGTTACAAATCGAAACATCAATCAAAAGTCTTCTTTATTATTTTATTTTAAACTTACTTTGCCACAATTGGTATAGATCAAGAGAGACGGAGATCGTGCAATGTGAGTTTGAAGTGACTATAATAGTAAGTCTGAATTTATTAATTTCAAACGATTACTTCCAATGTCGAAGTACATTCGCTGTTATAGTTTACCCATTTCCCTATTTATTGACGGCAGACACTCGTTAATAAAAAGAAAGTAGAAAGGAAATTATATATGTATAAGATACAGTGTAATCTATAAATAACACAGTGAGATGGGAACGAACCAAGGTTTAGAGCGAGATATGAGCTCGTGTTTGCACAAATAAGGCAACTGGTAAAAAAGATCAGCGAATGTATGAGAATCATCGATATTATGTATCGTCGCTCGATTAAAACTGTCAAAACGTTCACTGCACAAATTCATTTCTGCTACGACATATAAGTTACTGGCTATTTCTAACAGTGTGCGACAGTCGTTATTTGTATGTGTTCGGTGCAACAATTCGGCTAGTGTAGTACATCGAACTAACATTAGCTGACTTTTAGCAAGTTCGACCAGCAGATTAACGATTCGATGGAATTCTTTCGTGGTCTGCAGAATCGAGGTGGGTCGGCGTAAACTTTTATCTTTACATGCAAGAAAGTTTAGCCAGCGCACGTGGCGTGGTTACAGAAAAAGCCACCATCCTTCCTTCGCCGCCGCCCACCGTCGCCCCGAGGAAACTCGCGCATCTAATATATATAGCCGCTAATGCAAAACCCATAATTATCGCGGCGTAGAGAGAACCCTAAAGTGATGTTCCATTAACCGCAAATGGTCCTCTCCGAATTTCTATTTCAGACTGGAACTCCGCGCTATTTATCATTCTGAACGGTACGAAGGAGGAGCACTTGGACATGCTGGACGGTGGTATTATTCAGCGATTACTCGAGGAAAAATGGAAGACCTTTGCGCGGGTAAGTGCGTCCACGTGACAATATTCTCGCTACCACCTCCTTTCCGGACATTTTTCACGGATTCTAGCTAGACCAGCTTCTTCCTGCTCGGGGAAAGCAATGGTATCCATTAGACCGCTCCGTTAGGAATTTCTACCCTTTGCTTGTACGTTCAAAGAATTTAATTGATATTTTGCTGCTCGCATGCCTCATATATACGACGCTTTGCTAAATGTAGTATTATTGAGCAACGTGTGCAATTTTTCACAAGCAGATGCAATGAAATTGTAGAATAAAAATTTCGTAAACGAGGAATTCTTATTTTTCGCTTGTATAATTAAAAAGCTTTACAAAGTATAATTCTATACGAAGGGATAAAGCGAGAGCCTTAATCTTTGTAAATGAGCCTTTGTTTAAGATAAATTCGATTTTGGAAATGTATAAAATTTTCGTGCATTTTATTTACCATTGTATATCGTGTTTCTCAGGTTTTTTTCACAAAACGATATTGGCATATTCTATAGGTAAAAATAAGAGAAAAATATTATATAATTAGAAGCTCACAAGTATTTCATTAAAAAGTTATAACAAAAATATCAAATGATAACAGGCTGGATTTTTGTTGAATAAAACGTACAGATAAATGAACAGTATTTGCGTTAGCTTCACTTTAAAATATTGATCGATTTGTTACACTACGAATTCTTTGTTGATTTCTTCCTTTAATTTCATCGAATGCATTGCATATCCTTTATCTCCTACAAGAAAATCAAATCCGATGCTCATAGAAAGCAAACAATTTCTTCTCCTCGACTTATCCATCGTGGGTATTAATGTTTCGTTCATCGTAAATTAAAATTCAATTATCAAATGAAAATCTACTTTGATCCTATCTTGCCTATCTCCGTTATAATTTTTTAATACAGCATTTATGAGCCTACATTTATGTAGCATTATTCTCTTATCTTTACTCACAGCTGGCACCGTTTTATAGCAAAAACCTGGAAGACTCTGTACGTAAGTATTGTTGCCGCAAATCGACGAAAAAGCGCGGTCGGACAGTTACAGGCGGTAAGTACTTCCGTTACCATTTACATTCATCATCAAGCGCACGGTTATGGTTACAGTGGTCGCTCAGAGCTCGTTATCAAAACAAATCTCGAACGCGAGAACCATCGTCGTTTCGAATATGAAATAAATGTACGTGCAATTTAAAAAACGTCCGCTCATTAACCCTTTCGAGGCATCAAGTGCCATTGGGCGGGCGTGATTATGACCGCAATCAGTCGGACGTCGACGACTATCGTTGTTCCACGAGATCATTCGGAGATTGCCGATAGCATCGTGAATGCCAGGCCGACCCGGTCAATCGAAATAAATCGTGCGGCGCGTTCACCATTCCAACCTAGAAAACCTCTGGAAAATCCTGTCGATGCCACTCGATCGTCCGGCCGTCGAGCACGCGAGTGACAATCGTTTCCGAGTCAACGTTCGTCCAACGTCTACTCGACGTCACTTGGTAATCACCGGAATAATTTGAAATACGCTCGTGCACGTGTAAGTACTTGCCTGAGCAACGAAAATTTCTGGTGTATGTACCTGGTGCGCCTCGTACGAGCTTCGTCAATTAGGACAGCTGACATGTACATCCAATTATAGGATTATTATTAGGGTTGACGTACGGGATACACGATAAAAATGTTAAAGGGGTGAGAATGGATGGTTTTGGCATACGTTTGATGTCTACTTGGCTTGGTATTTTCAACGATGGAGGAGTTTCATTGATGATGGGCATTAAGCACGTAGAAACGTTTCATTAAGTGTATTTTAGTCTAGGATCGACTAAGGTGGAAATTCTGAACTTCTGATAAGTAATATTAAAATTACTTAACAAGGAAAAATAGAAACGAAAGAACACGTTAGAATCGTTTCTTGTCCCGGTGTATGAAGTTGATAGTAACATGATCGGAGTTTCGGAGGATCAAGATATTAATTGAACTTCAAACGGCGTTCGAATGTTTTTTGAAGAAGAGATCGAAAAATTTAACCAAAAAAATGTGATTAATTTGATGCATATTTTTCATTTTACGAAATATTACTTTTGCATCCTTTCATTTAAAATTTCATACATATTCATTTTATCAATTTACTATATTTTGCATATAAATTGTCTGTATAAATTATCGCAATATTTATATGTTATATACATGTGTTGCACAAACAACAAGAACGAAGTGATGTGAATATATGAATATCATCAATCATACGAAAAATATTCAACTTATAATGTTAAAGTATGTACACATGTATAGACAGACATACGAGTATTTACACATAACAGGCTTTCCTAATTTTACAGCACACAGTTCTCTAATGTCTATATTCGTGGAATCGATATCACGTTCTCTATTTCTTGACATAAGAAAAGTATTTTATGTCGCAAAGAGAAAAAACTTTGGAATTACTCTCACGAAATCAAAGACGTAACTTTTCATGTAAACCATCATTTATTAATCGTGCAGCGTAATTACATGTATTTTCGTCGCTTCTACGAATTAGTTTGATTAATTTCGCTGTTATTTGAAATAGTTTCGTAAAACGCGAGCACAAAACGTTAAAAAAACATGAATACGTAGAATTTATGAAAAATTCCATATTTAAATATCGCTGACTGTATTTTCCATATCGAAAATTAAAAGAGGTTATGCGGTAACCACCGATCCGTGTATTATTTCGAAAGTTGTTTCCGATAAAAATGTAAAAAAGTCGGCCGAGTTAACACGAGGTTAAAAAAAAAGAAGTATGTACATACATTTTTTTTTCTTTTTGCTATCGATACGTATACATACATAATATCGAGATTGAATTGATTGCTCGTTACGGACATTTAAGAAACTTGTAATGGAGTTAATGGTACATCGTGTACAACTACGGAGGAACATCATAATGGCACAGCATCCATGATATATCCCACTTATAGTACTAATCACGACCACGTTTAAACCGCATACAAGCGTCAAATGACCAATTATGCCATGATACTGTACACAGAGATTAGCATGGTTGTAGTGTAATTAATCACGAAGCACATTTGATGGTAACACGTCATTAGAACAACTCCACGGACTGACGAGAATATACGTTACTTGAACATTCGCAAATATCTATTCGTGTTATCCGTCAATTTAAACAACACAATAACTTAATGGAGAATTACGTTTATTATCGTAAGCCATGAATCGCAATTCTGTTTGCGGCACTTAGAATTATCGCTTGGACGTTTCATCTTCTGTTATCTATGTTGGCTTTACATGTTTTTCATAGTGACGTGCAATAGATGTATATGTTATGTATATATGCGTTGCAGATATTCAGTCATTTTTTCAGTGTTATATTTTTTATAAACGCATTTGTATGTTTTCCAAGTGGAAGTATTTCGACTGTTGATCATCAATTTTGAAATTTTCCGAGAGAGTTTTTGAACATATATATTTGATCGCTGCCGTTTATCGGCCGCCCTCTATGTCTTGAAACAGGTTGAAAACAGCCCTTAAAATTTAACAGATTGATCAAAATATATTTTGAAAATGTTAAGAATTGCTGGTATAGAGATTCAAAATTATTAAGTTGTTTGGAAGGTTTATAGCGAAATATATAAAAAATTTAGAAACAACGTATATCCAACGTATTAACTATCGAAAACACTTTGAATATCTTCACTTATGGGACAGCCTATGGAAAGATCAAAGAAGACAAAGAATTATTCAATAATTAGCATACCACTCTAATAATTAGTATGCCCCTATGAAAGTTGCAGTTCTTGAAACGGTTGATCATCCTGGTGTTCCATCTGACATCACTCTCGCTAGCCGTGTATATGAGACCGTCAAACATCGATGCCACCCTCCTGGAATGGCCGGAAGAAATCACGGAAGTTGGACGCATGATCGCGGAGTGCACCACGGTAATAGGTGTGCTGAGCTACATTTTGGTGCAACTAGGCGGCGAGGTAGTCAACATTGGTCTTCTATCGTTCATGAAACAATTGGTACGTTTAATCTTAAATCTTGCTTCTTGAATGAATTCATCCCGCGCTGCGTAGCTGGAAAGATGGCTAGCGAATGGCACAGGGGCAAGCAAAGTACAGCAAAAGCTCCACTTATCCGATACTTACCCGTTCGTACAATCGGAGCTGATTTTCATATGACTAGATTTTGCTCATTCGTTAGATTACAAGGTGAAGCAGGGCTAAGTCTAAGCCGATAAGTCTGAAGTTGAATAATGGGAATTTAGGAACAAATTCGATAAACCGAGTACTGTGGTGACTAGATTACGGAATTATTAAGCATTTATAGGGAATTGGGAGGTATAAACAGACGTAGAATACAGAGTGTACACGATTTACTAAAATATATATAAATATAAAATATTTGAAGTATAGGACTCGGTACGATATTTAGCGAGTAAAACAGATGTCTATCTGGATTACATTTTTTTTAATTGGACTTGTAAACATACGAACGTGCATATTTTATCGCAGTCTAGCGATGAAATTAGTTCGGATAAATGGAGTTCGAGCAAACGAAGTTCTACCGTATTCCTGTTGCTCATCTCGCTCGTATGATCTTGTTTGTACGTCTGACACCTTCGACCAATAAGCGTGCTTATTTTTATGATTCTACTTGCTAAATTAGAAATAGCCAACCGAACCTGCATTCCTTTGCCTAATAGCCTTTTCAGTTTTCTATTATACATCGACGGTTCAGCCGTGAAAGTTATACTCTCACGAAACACTCCGTTGTTCCATACATCGAGATATCTCACTTGGATGGATGGACGGAGGCAATTTCGAATCTCTTGAATCGCGCCGCGGGTATCGAAGGTTGAGCAAACCGCCAGTGAACGCTAACGGGTCAGGAGTATAATGGAAGAAAGGAAGTATTTCGTCGTGAATGCAGTGCGCTTCTAGATACGAGAGATTCCTTTTTTTTTTGTTGGTTTGACTGGATAGAGCGTACACGGGGTTCTGATCGCAATTTGAAAGTAAACGTATGCCGCGTGAGGTTCTTTTTTTATTTTTCACTGGTAGAAGCTGGAGAAGAATGTAAAAATTGTTGTATAACAATTTCTGGGGTATTATATCGAATAATTCATCAGTTGCTGTTACTAAAAGTTTCATAGAAAAAGGCATCTGTCAACATTTATCTTTTTATGGAGGGAGAAAAGAGGTTTTATATTCGATGTTCATTGCATACATTTCAATCTTTTTCACGAAATCGGTATGTTCTATAATTTCGATGGGTTTTGTATGCAAGTCTGTCAGAGGACCGTATCCAATTGAATTATTTTGGAGATCTCATGATTGCGGTTGTTTTTTAGGCAAAACGTATTCAAATTAGATGAACATGGATTAGACGAACGATTTGATTCAGTGCCATGTGTATCTCTCGATTTTCGTATGTTATAAAATACATTCTAAAGAATATTGTATTAATGATTATTCAAAACTTACAAGTTGCTAAAACACCGTTCTGCCTCGAAAACTCACGATTAAAGCTTGGAAACGAGAATGGAAATAAATCGTTGCTCACGTGCCAAACCAAACACAAGAAATTTGCATCGTTTATCTAAAAGGGGACATTGTTCGCGAATTAATTTCTCACTAACGGCCGAATTACTCGTAAATCGCGCTCATTGAGCATTCTCGTACGGGGGAATACGTAATTCGTAATTAGCCTGGCTCGCTCGATAGCGTAGACATCAAGTGTACGATATAATTAGGACGACTTGATGTATGCGGCAGTATTATGTGATATATCGCGAGTTATTAATCGTGATCGCGTATCAACATTGCCGTGGAATCCTTTTCGAACCACTGAAAATGATTCTCTAGGAAGCAACTCCGATTTCACGGCACAATTATGCAGATCGTTTGCTTGGCGACGCAACGCGTTGCCACGTACCGAAATTCCATGGCGTATATCGATTCCTCTGCGGAAGGCCGTGAAGCGTGCAAGAATACGTGCTACCTTTGACGTTTCACCTGCGCATTTACCTTACAGAGTCACGAGCCTGCCAAGCTCATATTCTTGATCAGCAATCTGCTCATACTCGCGTGCATACCATGTCGTCTTGCTGGTAATAGGCATGCTGAAGACGCGATACTCGTGGTTGCTGTTCCCGGCTCTTGGTTCCTCCTCATGTTCTTTGCTGGGTAAGTGACGTTTTGTGTTCTTGATTGCTACTGAATTTCTAGCGTTTACGCTACACGCTTAAGAGAAGGAACAACTGAATAAGAATTCAAAAGGAAATCTCTTTCCATTAATAATTGCCAATTTCGTATTAAGCGTGCTCAATTGCTGTAATTTTTATATATGCCTAATTATTTTCTATATAACTATTTTTATATATCCGCAATTTTGTATGTCCTGCAACCGGAAAGAATGAAAAACGATCCGTTTCTCTTGCCGATTTTTAATCAATTGTAATTTTTTTCTCTTAAGTACTATCTCTTTTTGTTTGATAAAACTAATTTTATTTTATTTCATTAATAACGACATAAGTTTTAATTGTATTACATGTAAGTTTATTATTTTAGTAATTAGAGATAATTAGCGATTAGCAATTTCCGAAGAGTATTAATTAACGAAGATAAAAAGTTATTTAATCATTGTAATGTTAATGTCACAATATCGACGGCTTTGAAAAACTGTTTTTATTTTATGTGTAGTTACATTAGATCTAAGATAGCGACTTCTTGAATACATTACAGACTTCGTATAGTTAAAGCGTTATCTTCTCACTGGAATTATGTATTAAATATATGTATGTCCTTAAGAGTAGAAGATACGATAGGAAATTATATAAGAAGCTTACTTTACTTAACTGATGAGCTGTTTGATGTATTACTGATGTATGACTTGTTCCAAAACTTCTTGCACACATGTAAATGCTAATTAAGCCAGCAACAAGTAATAGAATGATCGCAACAGCCTTCAGACTATGAACTAATCTCTGCCATTGAAATGGAACGAATGTCTATAGATTTTCATCACTGAAATGAAAATGGAGCTTCGAAAGGAAATTTTTATTTCATCTTCTATGTCTTTGCTTAGCAATCAGTTAAAATTACTTGAAAAATAGAACTTAAAAGGTATTAATTTATACAAAATTTGATTCCATATTCGATAAATATTACTCGTAACATATTTAACAAATTCTCTAACTTCATTTATATTATATCGAATCAAATCGATTAATTTCATATTTTATTCCTTTTTTTATAAAAATAGCTACCTTAAAATCTGTATCTTTGCTTCATTAATAATCTAAAAGATAACTCACCACACTAGAAGCTCACAGTCTGTGTACTCTACGCTGTATGTTTATCAACTTTTTATTTGCATGTTAGTTAAGCATGATTGCATCGTAAGGAAGTGAACTTAGAAATTGCTGATTTAATGTCTAATACATTGAAAGAACTATGCGTGAGTCAGCGATGACCCTCGATGTTTATCAGTAATTATATTTCTCCAATAAAGGACACGAATAATTTACCATTTGACATTGAAATTAAATTCTGAAAAGAAGTACGGTAAAATGTTTTATAAACTCGAATATATTAATATACATTGTATGCTTATCTTATATAGTTCACTGCTATATGTACTTACGTTAACGCATTTATTACAACAATTAACTGCTAAAATTTCGTGTGTGACCGTTGCATTAGCAGAGAGGATTTACAAACCTGCATTTATCTAGCGCGACTTTACGCTACGCTTCGTTAATAGAATGTGAATTATTAACGGCATCGGTGTTTGTTAATAATATAGCAGGTAACGACGATGTCGAATGGATGTTTCGCCGTTGAAATTCCGTTGGTGGCTAGTTAGCTTATGACAGAAATATTCATGAAGAGTGATAAAAGAATGCTTGATTAAGTATTATGTCGCCTGGTCATGCAACGTTGGCTACACGTGCTATTTAAAATACCTGCGACGATATTTTGTAACTTCGACGTATCTCCTTATTTACTATAGCTATAATTACGTCGAAAGTTGCTCCGTTTTTTTTAAACGAATGAATTACTTTCATTTCTAAAATATTTCTGAAAATATAATGGATGTCAAGCAAATATACAAATTATTGCAACGTAATAGTAAATAAATATGTTAATTTTGTTTGCAATATATACAACGCTCAGTTATAGTTATTTTTGCTAGTTTACTATCTTTTTGTTATGTAGAGAATTTAACAAATTTAAGATTTCGAATATCCAGAATTTGACTATCATTCGAAAACAAACATTTAATTCGGAACTAAGTAATTGACATATAATCCAACTGGTTAGATTTTGACGTGAAATAACTATGAGTTATATCCGTTCCTGGAATGATATGTAATGATCACAGCATAAATTTGATTAATATACTCAGGATTATTAATATCGCTGGTAATGGCGCGCATACGTTACATCAATAGAACAAATTTACTACATTTATATTATAAATTAAACGAAATTATATATCAATGATAAAAGGTATACGAACTTGATTATTTAATAGAAGCATACAAAATTATGTGATGCGATTTAAAAATAATAAAAAATGTTAAAACGTAATTTGTCTTAAATCTCTTAAGTGGAAGCATAGTGATATTAATGGCTACATAAATATTCGTTATTTGCAGTCTTACAAGATAGATGATTATTATCTCGCGTGATTAAATAATTATTTAGAGGACTTCTATTATTTAGCGGGCTTTCAGTCAGTCACACGCATACATAACACCATCTTACGTACAAAAACTATACTTTAGAGTTTTTATTATTAGCAAAAAAATGACAGGCAGCAGAAAATATTAGTATCATTGATAATATTCTTTATTTTTAGCCTCACGGCTAAGAAATGGGCTTGCTTTACAAAATCCTTGGCTTATAATTCTGTCTTAATCTTTCGCTCAAATCTTTCATTTTCATTCTTTTATTCTCTGTGTCCTTACTATATTTCTACTCAGTTCCTATCCGATTGATATTGCTTTTTATCGCATAATATTTATCGTCCTTTTCTAGCATAATATCGCTTCTCCATCCACTCGAATCCTTTATACTACTATTATAGCAATAGAATATATTATAATGCACATCGTACCCAGGGTGCTATAAATATTAAATCATAAAATCTGTAGAAGTACTGTGTCTGTATATCTTAGGTATAAAAAGTACATCATACTTTCTATTCCTAGATATATAAACTCCCAAGTAACCAAATATATTGTACGTAATAGGTTGTAACATGTAAAGTCGAACGTTTCGAGTTCTTTATCTCAATTAGATTAAGTAACATATTATTTTTCTGCATTCCTCTGATAACATATATGTATAAAGTTAAATGCTGATTTATATTTCTTTCTTTCTTTGAACTATCGTTACAAGTTCTTCGATATTCTGTTTACAAGAGTAGAACAAATATACGTGAACTTTGAGACATTTTTCCTTAAAAATTGTTTAGCCGATTTGCATAGATAACGTTGATATGTATTTGAAAGTGTCAGTAATGAACGTACGATCCGTCAGTGGTTCTCTAAGTTTTCTTTTAGCTATATCATTAAATGGATAATGAATTAAATTAAATGAAAGTGATTAACAGAGACTTGCGAAGACAACTCGGTACATGTTTCTCGTTAATAATATAAGCACGTTAATTAATAATAATAAGCACGTTAATCTCAACGACATAGTAACTCAGATTAATAAATTTAGCCCGATGAAACGTAAAACGTGTTTTTCTTAACTTAAGAAACCAGACTTTTCGTACGTTCTGATCTAATATTATACGTATAAGAAGGCGAAGGAGAATTAACGCATCCAATATGTATAAAGGAAGGACCCTATAATCAGCCGAAATAAAATCCACCAGCAGCCGTGTACGCGCGATTTTTCTCCCTAGGAATGAATGGAGCAACCAGAAGAAAGGCATTTATAATCGGTTGGATGATAGCGCCTCCAGATTTCAAACCTCTTTTCACGTGATTTACGACGAGATAATGCCGGCTATTTCGCATTACCATACACACGCCTCTCTTGGCAATCGTTTTTCTCCACCGCCGCGTCCTTTTCGTGGCCACTTTCCTGCAGATATTACTGCAGAACTTTCTGCCCTCCATCTCTCTCTCTTCCTCCCCCATCTGCTGCCTTTTCTTTGGTGTGGCCCAATGACGTCGACGACGACTTCTTTTCTATCTTCTGCTGCAAAGCTCCGAGGCAATTCGTCGAAGAACGCTCTTTGACTCGCGCGGTTTCCACCATCACTTTGACGAGCGTCTGCAACCATTGCGTCGAAACGGCGAAAAAGGATGCAAGACCCTATTGGACCGCGATAGTGCATCTTGTTTTCTGACCTCGTACTTTGAGCCGTGACGTCGGTAATTGTAGATAAATATCAATTCTACGCGAAGCGTGAGTTTTTCGGATTCGAGAGGAGTGGAATTTGCTCGGTGGATTGAAACGAGGCTTCCGAATGTGGAAAATGTTAGGATTGTTAGTTGCACGAACTGTTGCGTTGAATTTATTTTCATTTCGTTTCATTAAAATTCCCGATTTTACAGAGGATAAGTTCAGAGCAAATTGTTGTATGAAGTAGTTTGTTTACGTGTCCGATGTTAATACGTTCGGTGATTATGTTAGTGCAAAACAAATTGTAGAAAACTTCTGGCAACAATTATTAAATCCCAGATATTTCTGCACTTATAAGAGACTTAAACGTTTGAAAATGTATATTATACATATTATACGATATTTAGGTTTCATTTCCGTAATTCAATCTTTCAAATCAAATCTTTCAAAGTGCAAACAAAATTTAAACCATTTAAACCGTTAATTCTTATACTGCGACATTTTCAATTTCGGGTATTTGATAAGGGAAAGATTGATAAATTTGTATAACCTTTCCCATATGAAATCTTCAGATCATCTTAATCTTTTATCAACAAAATAACGTCGAATTAGTTTTAACTGTACCTAACTTAGTCATACTATACTCTCAACAATTTCAGGAAATTCGAGAGTCGTATGAAACTCATGATAATTTTTTCAAATGACACGTCATTGTTTATTGAAAAACAATTAAATATAAGTCGATGGAATAACCATTTTATTGTGTACAAGGGAAAAACGTATCGGCAGAGTTAATTTAATTTGACATAATGAGAGAT